CAGGAAGCCCGAGGCAGAGTTGCTCTGCCCCAGGCTTCCTGGAATCAGCCGCTGATCAGTTTCAGCAGCAGCTGACTTGGGGATGCCTGGGTTTCTTAAGTTGAATCTGTATGTAAGTCAGAACTGGCATCCAGATTCAGCCCCGGTTGAAACTGATCAGTTTCATCAGCGGCTGACACCAGTTCCGACTTACATACATATTCAACTTAAGAACAAACCTACAGTCCCTATCTTGTACGTAACCCGGGGACTGCCTGTATATGGAAGAAGCAGCCTGGTATGCCCCATGATGAAAACTAAACTAAAAATATAATACAAGTGAATGAATGGAAACATTCTAGAGGAGTTTTCTATCTGAGAACTATCTCTCTAATCCTCAGTAAGTTATAATCTTTGATGGGAACGGTAACAGGCCATTCTACCTGCTTGATTCTGTGATACACAATATATTAAAACAATCCCTACCATAAAAAAAACCCAACAAAATAAAGAATATTGCACACAGCTGCATTTTACAAGAGCTAGACTTCCAGAGAAATGAGAATTAAGAACATGTTAGGGAACTGAATTAAAACAATACTTTGGAATTGTTACACTTTGCAATAACCTATGTTAAGAGCTATATATCATTCTTGACTCTGAATTACTGTGTGTCAAAAATGTTTAATATTCCATTAAATGTTAGTAAAGACTAAATTAATATTGTAAAACAGTCCCTACTTACAGTTGCTCAATTTGTTCAAATTCTTTTTGATCATCTGTGGGACAAAGAAAACATTAAGGTTATTATATTCATTTGCATTGCAATGTATGTGTTTACTGGTCAGAAGTTATTTAAAACTGAAAAGCATTTCACTTCATTTGTATAATAAATGTCTAACATAAAATAATTGGTAAAACAGTAAAACAAGGACATTCTGTACAAATCAGCAATGCAGGATATACAGCTGATGTACAATTTTATTATAATTCCTCTTATTCAAAATCATTTTCTTTATCCTGACTAAGATTAAGCTGTTGTATTCCCACTCCTCATGATATGAAAGGTTGGAGACCCTTCAACAGTTTATAACCATTGAGTTTTTTCTTCATGTAGAAATGGCATTTATGTTACATCCCAACAATGGTTCTGAACCCGTGACTATTTGACTCACATAAACATGCTTTTGACATTTCAGACACTTGTGATAAAATCAGGCCTCGGGTTGTATACTGGCAAATGCCTGAAAAGCCACAAGTAAACTATGGAATGCAATTTTAGCATCTTCTTCCAAAATCCATTAAGATCACACTTGGCAGGTGTGTCCCAGTTCAGTGGCTGTGGTCAAGGCATTTTGTTTTAATACAGTGCTACCTTCCCCCTCTCCACAATGAGTATGATGCTCTTGACCAGGAGTAGTCTCCATCAGTACGCACCAGCTCCTCTGGGAACATTTAAAATCAATCCTTGAAGACCTTATCGTCTATTTTTGGTTGTGTGGATAAGGTTGGATTAGATCAGTGTGCTAATGGAGTGCTCTGTGTTTGTTTACTTACCAGCTCCATAGCCACAGAGTCTTGCAGCTCCCATTGGATGCAGTTCACTGTTTGCAGCCAAGGGGAACCGTGGGAGGTGGAGTGGCTAGGACCACTACTTCCTGC